AGCAGTGTAGAAGGAAGGCAGCTAGTCATCACCACCCACCGCCAACTCTTGGGCTACTCTTTTACCAACGAATAGTTGGATTGACCGTCACATTATAACGCCCCCACGGCTGAAAGGGCGAGCATGTTTGGTGTGACGGGAATTCGAACCCGCGACCCTCAGATTGCGAGTCGAGCGCCGTAACCACCTGGCCATGCCGGGCCTAAGTGTCGAATGCTTTCTCAACATTGAGACAGTGCATTCGTTTCGGTTAAAACTGTCTACTATTAATTCTGTTAATTTTACCAGATGATATGTGGTTTGTCTTTTTTTTTTTTCCTAAATCCTTTTTGTATTTCAGGTAATTTTGATGTCAATTCGAGATAAGCCAAAAGTCTTGAACTGGTGATTTTTCTAATAGTTTGCCAATACAGCTGGTTAGGCTGATTGGTAGCTTTCTGGTGTATTTGTGGCTTTCTATCTTTTAAAAATATTAAAACATCCGCTAGTTTCCAAGCAGTTGGTATGAAATCTGATTTCAGGGATAGATTAAATATAGCCGCTAGATGTTCGTTCAACCTTGATGTGCCTTTTATAATAAGTATATGTTGTATTTGTCATGTCCTGGAGCCTTGTTGTTGTTTTTTTAAGAGCGCCTTATATTTCTGTTGCTGTTACTGGTTTAATTAATTGGTGTGTAGCGTTATCCTGAGTGTTACTACTTTCTGGTTGGAAGGTAGGTTTTGTTTGTGTTAATGTAGTTATTAACTTTATTGTAGAATAATGTGTTCACTGTTGGTTCGTTTTGTACGTGTTTTCTGAATATATCTGCTTTTTGTGTGTTTGTGTTGGCTAGAATGTTATTCTATTTTAGTGTGGGATATATGTGGTTATTAATATTATTTCCAGTTAATAATTTTAAGTGAGACCAGAAGTTTTTTGAGTCTTATGCGTATGTTAAGTTTTGAGCGGTATTCATTCCAATTATCGGTTTTTAGTCTTTTTTATTTCGTTTCGTATATTTTTTTCTGAGTGTATTTAGTTTGGTTTTTAGTTCAGGGTTTTGTGTGTTCATATAGATTTTTTCGGATTTTTCTGCGTTCTTTTATTGTATTCAGAAGTTATTCATGGGGTTTCCATATTTGGTTGTGATATTGTGTAGTTGTTGTGACGCATATTTCTGTTGCATTTATAAGATGCTCTGTGATTATTTGTTTGTAATTAAGCACAAAGCTACAGAATGGGCTATCTGTGCTCTACCCACCACGGGTATTGAAACCTGTATTCTAGCGTTGTAAATCCGCAGACATACCGCTGTGCCACTTTGGGGCTCTGTGATTGTACAACAGTAATTACCAATTGTTGAGTTGACTTCGACTCTACTAGTTTTTAGTTCATAAGAATGAAATAAGAAATTAAATTTGAAGTGTCTTCTCGTGAGATTTCCCTGTATCTTTCATTCCAGTAGAACTCACAACTGTCTTGTACAACACGGAGAATCAGACCACTAAAGAGCTATAGCTTACTTTACTTACTCAGGCTTAAAATACATTTAGTGATTGGAATTAGCCGGTCTTGACAATGAAATTTCGGATAACATATAAACCAATAGCATTTCATTATCACCGGAAGATCCCCAGAAAGATTGCCACTTCGTGTATATGATTTTATTGAGGTTAAAAGGTACACTATCTTCAGAAGTATAACGGGTGCTCTCGAACTATGATGCTCTTGTGGATGTACCTGCTTGGAGTGTAGGAGTGAACGACGTTTCGAACCAAATGACGAAGGCATCGAAGCCGAAACGTCCAGGTAGATGCAATCTATTAAAACGATATAATGAAGTAAATATGTTGGCTGTAAGAATATCATGTAGACTAACTCCTTTTTATAGCTATCCAGAACTCATACAAATAATGACTAGTTCATCTTGAAAATCTTAGCCAGCACGCTTCACGAAAATTTCAAATTGCAATTAATAGAGCGAAAAGTCGAAATGGTAAAAACAAAACCTGGATAAAACTACAGGGCCTGGCATGACCATGTGGTTACGGCGCTCGACTAGCAATCTGCAGGTTGCAGGTTCGAATTCCCATTCCACCAAACATGTTCGCCCTTTCAGCCGTGGGGTGCTATAATGTGGTGGTCAGTCCCACTATTCGCTGGTAAAAGAGTTGCCCGACAGTTGGCGGAGAGTGATGATGACTACCTGCCTTCCCCTTAGTCTTTCACTTCTAAATTAGAGACAGCTAGCACTGATAGCCCTCGTTTAGCTTTGCGCGAAATTCAAAACAAATCAAACTAAAACTACCGCTTAAAGAAAACAAACGGTCTATTTGCACTCGTTCAAAAATAAAAGTTACATGCTTCACCACCAGATTCGTCATTTTAAAACATGCTGATACCGTAAAGTCTGTCTCAGCTTTTCAAGTATTATGCTGTATAATCGTTGTAGTTCTAGAAAGTTTGCAATTTTTCTGTAATTCCTGTTATCCTGATTGACTTTTTTTTAGGGTTAAAAGCTTTGTTTTATTTTACTTTTTGTACTATTCATTTGATCATTAATGTTCATGACGGAAGTTTATGGCAATATCTTTGGTAATAAATATTTTTAGCTGTGGAATAGCGGCTCATAAAATGGCTCTGAGTTGTTTTTTTTTCTAAGTACAAACTTTTAGCTCATAGCTCCGTCTCTTGGCCGATTTGAGATCTACTTACAGCCGCGGCTAATGATAATTAGTAAGTCAACGGTACGTTTACGGGCTTACAACACTAAAATCCGGACTTCAATTCCCAATGGTAAACAGACCGCGGATAGCCTAATATGCATGTAGCTTTGCACTAGGAAAATAGCAACAGCGATAAAATAATGATAGCAAAACGTTAGGCTTAAGTTGTCAATGAAAACAAGTACAATTTCTATGAATTTCTAACCTAAAATAGTAATGAAATAGCCCCCCAATGGCAAAGCAGTAAATCTGAAGGCTTATAACACCAAACATCAGGTTTCGATACCCGTGGTGGGCATAGCACATATAACCCACTATGCAGCTTTGCGCTTAACTACAAACAAAGAATAAAATATATTTACTTTCTGGCAAGAACAGATTCGCTATAGTTTCGTTTTTAAGGTGTTTTTTTTTATATTTTGCTGGAGTTTTAATTCGCTAATGTTCGATATATCTTCCTTAGAAATATTCTATTTTGATAGCAAAATTCAATATGTATTGCTTCTTGCTTTGTTTTCTATTGCAATTTTCTGTAGTAGTTATGTGTATTCGATTTAAATGAGTTTATTTCATTTAAACAAAAGCATTTCTAAAAAACAAATAATAAAATAATTGACCATTAAGACCAGATACAAGATTAATGAGACTGTAAAGAGCAGAAGCAGAAAGAAGAAGAGTGTCTAATGTGTAACATGTACTTTAGATAGTGATTTAGCTTGAGATTCGGATGATTTGGTACATGGTACAAATGAGAATTTACCCGTACTGTTGGTTAACGAAAAGCTTTTTTAGAACAAAATACAGAATCAGTAACAATATACATGTAAAATATTAATCAGAAACGAATTTTCAGCACGGTATGGAATCAATAATTGATACGTCTATTCTTGAACCAGGTTTTATATTTACTAGTAGTATAGTATGTTTCACGTATTCAAAGCGACTTAGTTAGTTTGTACTTCCGCTCAGAACTGGCTTCAAATCAAACCGTTTTCATTATCTTCCGATATTTTGTATACGTCTCTCCAGTATAAAGGAAATTTAATTATCCTAAAGTACTGAATACCATATTTCACCTTCTTGTTGTTGTGTTCCGTGTACTTACTCTAATTAAATATCGTGTCAAAAATATTAATGCCCAAAAATTTACTTATGAACAATTAGAAAGTTTTTTTTTTTACATCATTATAACTGTGAGACCAAATATTTCGCTTGATTTTAGAGTTAGGACATATAAAAAATATGTTACAACCAATCTCTGCATTGCGATAATTGACGCTATTTCTTCAGTTATGCAAGATTTGATTCATTCAGCCTCTGTAGTTACCTAACTATCCTTTCTTCTGGAGAAACGTTTGTAAAATATTATTGTCGAACTTTTTACAGATGACGCTTACCAAGTGTCAACCCAGCTTATTGTGAACTTGAGTGTACTTGTTGATGTAAGTTTTACTTCCTTTGTCACGTCCAGCTACCACATTCTTCCACCCATAATTACTTCCTTTTACGCCCCAAACATTGTATTTGGTCTTTTCCGGCCTTGGACGCACACGATGCTCCAGTGACTCAGCGATAAGTCTGAAGGCTTCTAACAGTAAAATCTGGGTTTCGATATCCGTGATGGACACGGCACAGATTGCCCATAGTTTTTTCAGACTCATCGGGCAACAGTGTAGATTGTGATGTACATTGTTGCCCGATGAAGGCTCCAGTAAGAGGGTCGAAAGCTCGCAATAAAAGTATTTCAACGTAGAGAAAAGTCAGTTTGTAATTATATATACAGATTGCACATTTTGTAACTTTGTGCTTAACAACAAAGAAATACACAAGCGATATTAAAGCATTTTTGTTGTGACATAGTTAAATATGACGCAGGCAACTTGATCGCTTAATCTTTTGTGTCTGTCACCCCTTTTCTAGGTTAGTCTTAATGTTTACTTACTCCTACTGTAATGTAATTACGTTCTCTGTTTTGAAACCGTCTTAATTTCCAAAGTGTATTTCATGCGCATAGAATAATACTTGAAATATCCTTCCAGCCCGAGTGTTGAAGTAAGTAAAGAGTAAATTTGAATAACAAGCAATCATTCGATCATATAAAAACAAATTAAAAAAAAACAAGTTGTTGCACTGTTTTTGTTTGTTTTTTCATATGTTGTGCTCAAACATTTTAATCAGAAGAAATTGTCATAAGAGGTTGTTTTACTTTTGAATGATAGAAGCTATACGAACAGTGTAACACTGTATATGACTTTATATGTTCAGCCTGATGATATTACCTTTACCTCTTAGAATTTCAGTATATTCCGAGAGCAACCACAACGAAAGGCTTCACGTTTTCCGGCATTTTGTGCCGTGGCCCCGACGGTGACCTCAGCGCAACCTAGCGGTCCCGTTTGTTCTGTCGTTAACACGGCTTCAACGTCGACCGTGGGTTCTCACTTGAATGAACTTCATGTGAGATTATCTCTGCCTGACGTTAACGTTCCGGAGGAAGAAGTATCTCCATCACAATCGAGTTATTCTCTGCCGATGATGCGCCGAGCTCGTTCAATCGATGTCCGACAGCTTCCACCAGTCCCCCTGTTGTCAATTTCGGGTCGTACTGACAACCAGCATTCGACGGTACCTAGTGAACCTCGAAGTCCAGTGTCACCGCATCATCGAGCTCCTTCTCCTGACACCTCCACATTGTTCCCTATACCAGACCCATCGTTACGCTCTACATGTTATCTTACAGGTGCACGACCTCGATCCGTTTCTCCAGCTTCTCCATTGTTGTCACCTTCTTGTTCGTTGACCTCAGAGTCCGCCACCAGTCCTGGTGCTATCAGTCCTATAGGTAAAGACTATTTTTTACGCCATTTCATGATCTGATGGGAGTCAAATGTAGCTAATCTCAGTAAAGTAGATGCACAGGTTAATCTGAAACTAAACTACTTGAAAAAATAGCTTATCCGAAGCCTGAAACAAATTTGGTCACGATACTTTTTATGGTAATTTTAATGAAAGAAATTTTTATAATACATCAAAGATAAAGCTATACAAGATCAGGGGACTTATATTTACATTAATTTAAAAATAAACCGACTGGTAAAGCAGGTTGTAACTTTTCAAGTCATTAATAATATAGTCGAGCAAAGTTCTAACTAGTATTATTAAAATTTTGACAAAACTCCGTTCTAAACTTGTAATATATTCAGATTACCGAGATTACATGCATTCCGAAAATGAAAAATTCCAATTAAATTTAATTTTAATACTAATTCAGAAGAAATGGAACTGAAATTTTCAATCTGAGTGGCACCTTATGCTTGTGTGAACTAAAGACCAGGTCCCCTTGAACTCACGTGTAACCGTCAATAATTTTGCTCTGCTTACTAAAGGTAAAACAGTCAGCCACAGCACACGCCGCCAAAAGTACTTTGCCCGGTTTTTTAAACTGAATAACGGACTCACAGCAGAAAGTGTAGAGGGACCTTACATCTCAAACTCCGTACCAGAAAAATCCGAATCACAAGAGTTGAATCTCATATTTCTGTAAATTACAGCGTCAGTCCTGATAGACATTTGCAATACGTTTGATTTCTAACAAATGTAGCATCGTTACAAGCAGACTTGAGGTATCGTTTGGTTTCTTACAGACGTAGCATCGTTACAAGCAGACTTGAGGAAACGTTTGATTTATTACAGATGTAACATCCTTACAAGCAGATTCGATGGAATGTTTGGTTCCTAACAGATGTAACATCCTTACAAGCAGACTTGAGGTAATGTTTGGTTTCTAACAGATGTAACATCCTTACAAGCAGACTTGAGGTAATGTTTGGTTTCTAACAGATGTAACATCCTTACAAGCAGACTTGAGGTAATGTTTGGTTTCTAACAGATGTAACACCCTAACAGGAAGACTCGAGGAAATGGAACTGGAATTTTCAACCAGAGTGGCACCTTATGCATGTGTGAACTAAAGACCAGGTCAGAGACCCCTTGAACTCAGGTGTAACCGTCAATAATTTTGCTCAACTTAATAGATGTAAAACAGTGAGGCACGGCACCCACCGCCACAAGTACTTTGTCCGGCTTTTTAAACCGAATTACGGACTCATAGCAGAAAGTATAGAGTGAACTTGCATCTCAAACTCCGTACTCTGCGATCCACAGTCCAACACGCTAGCCATTAAGCCAAGTCCGGCCCTTGTTCAAGAAAAACTGTTATAGAGAACAAATAGCCCATTGTGTAGATTTACGCTAAAAAATAATAACAAACTAGTTAAAGAAACGTTGAAATTTATTAATGAATTCAATTGAAGATGTTGACCCCCTAACGTTCATGAGTTTTGGATAAAGTAAAAATGAAACAAAAAGATGTACATCTTACTTAAATTCATTTGAATATTCTGATGAATTAGAGTTTTAAATATACTGGGTAATCTAGTTATTCATATAATTTTCCAATTTTAAACAATCTGAATAGAAAAATAGAAAATGTCTTACCAGATTGTGTACCTGTATTTATTTGTTTTAAGCATAATATTGTTTGTTTTCTTATAGGCCTGAATTATTTGCCCAATCTCAGTAACATATATTGATAATTTTATGAAAATTACCGAGTTCACAAAAAATACTAAAATCCAGGATTCGATTCTCCGCAGTGGACGGAACGCAAATAGCCCAATATGTAGCTTTACATTAAAACGACCAGACAAAAACACTTATGATATAACTAGTTTGAATAATCAAAGTAGTGATAAGTGTCAGTCGCAGAACATTTTTATATCATTCACAAAGTTGATGCCTGTAAAGTTTCACCACTTTAATGTCAATCACAAATTAAATTTTGAATACCTGTAGAATATCAACACTTTTATGTCAATCAAAAGCAGTAGTTTTAAGCTAGGTCGAATAATGTGTTGGTTAAGAAACGCCAAGGAGAAAAACCAAACATAAATGGTTCATTGACAATATTAGCCAATTCATTGATAAATGAAGACTGCTAAAGCCAATCAATCTTGGGTCAGAGTCCGGATATTAGAAATCCAAAGAAATATTATTGTTAAGATCAAGTTACCAAGCTGGAAGAAGATCATGTTGAGAGGAAACCCCAAAATTTGTTCCAACGAATTTGTGGTCTTGCAGATAAAAAATATTTCGCAGGGGGGAGAGATGAGGACCCGAGACTCTAGCAGACGTATAGAAAGCCCGATGACAAAATAATCAACTAAGAGCAACAACTTGAGAGCTATATCTGATCTTAATTCTTTCTTTTTTTTATTTGCAATCAAAACTTTTGAGTAAACATATTCTCCATTCTGAATAGTTGTATATTTATTTATTTTTCTTTCCAGGGGTCATACAACCTGACCTATACAAGACACAAGACATGGTGTTTCTCCAAACTAACGACAGCGAGGAAGCTGACAAGTATGGTCGACTCCACTTTCGCTTGAAATATGACTTTGATCGATCCGATCTAGTGGTCCATGTGATTGAAGGTGCCTAATTCACATTGTATATTGTCAATTCTAGGCGTGATATTTCATGCAATATGCAAATTATTTAAGTTTTAAACACACGTAGTATTTTATTCTGTAGTTTTAGAAAATAACTTAATAATAAAGTAAACCTCCTAGGAAAGGATTTCTTTAATTTATCTTATAATCTTTTTATTTTTCTTTGATGAGCGCCTCTCAGTGGCACAGCGGTATGTCTCGGATACCCGTGGTGGGCAGAGCACAAATAGCCCTTTGTGTAGCTTTGTGCTTAATAACAAACAAACAAACGATTTCATGCTGTATTGAAAAACATTGTCGGAGAACAGTTCAAAACAGTCCTGTTCATTTGATTTAGTTAACCGATGAAAGATTGGGGCAGAAATGTTAAAGAATGAGGTTTTAAATTACCTTTAGTATTTGTTGGTTAGTTTTCTAACCCTATTTCTGAAATAAACCCTAAAACTTTTAAGAGAAATTATTTTATAGTGCGTATGAAACATAGACATCTCCCGGTAAGTCTTCGGACTTTCAATGCTCTAAAACCCGGAGATTCGCTTCCTCGCAGAAGACAGAGCAGATAACCCAATGTGGTTTTTCTCTAAAACAAACAATGTGAAACGTGGACAGGCGTGCGAAAGAAATATCTAACAGCAGTCTCACAATAATAATTAAATATACAAAAATCTTACTTCTTATTGAAAGACAGGCAGAAATGATTATTTGTTTATGAAAAACGTCTTTGTAAGGTGTGGGAAATATGTATTTATCCTTTAAATACTTGACAGGTCTTAATGTCGGTTTCAGAAACAAAATATTACAAATCGTACACACTTTAATTTTGTACAAAAATAATTCAGTTATGTTTCGCGTTCATAGATTGCTTTATTAACACATCTGTTAACAATCCCAAACTCTTCGTCCATCTTGCTTTATAGTCAGGATGCTTTATCAGCACATGTGGTAGCAATCCAACACTCTTCATCCACCGTGCTTTGTAGTGAGAGTGCTTTATCAGCACATGTGGTAACAATCACAAACACTTCATCCATCATGTTTCGTGTTCAGAGAGCACTTTAAGAGGAAATGTGGTAAAATAATCTGAAACTCTTCATTGTGTTCAATGGTCAAAGATGTGATTCATTACCACATGTGGCAAAATGATTCCAAGCTCTTCATCCATTATGTTTTATGGTTAAAGGGTACACATGTGAAGACGATCTCAAACTTTTCATCCATAGTGTTCCATGTTTAAAAAGTGCTTTGTTAGTACATGTGGTAGCAAAACATGACGAAATATCGTTCAGACAACCAAATAGTTTTAGAATATTAAGCAAGTTGACTAAACTTCTTCTTCATTAAATAGTTCGTTCATTATTTTACAAAACGTTTAATAAGAAACTAACGTTAAAAACACATTTATTCAGACTTTTATAACACTGGATATTTTATTAAAAGCCACTTTATAATCCAATATGAAAAGCGAGCGGTATTACCTTCAGTATTGGTCAATAAGGATATTTTAAGAACGACTGATAAGCACTTTTTTTTCTAGACCTGAGAGTTTACCATAAATATTTCGAAGTTGTTAATTGGCTACGAAAAACAAAATCTCAAATATCAAACGTTTTGAAACTGAATTTTTTCTCAATTAAAACAAATTCAAAATTACTTAAGAGGTTTACTTAATTATTATTTTTTTTGTCTATCTAAACGCTTAATGTCTCGCAAAGAGATTTATTCCAAACTTTTATTGTTGTTGTTTTGTTTCTTCAGCCCAAGATTTAGGAACACTGTCCGAAAACGGTTTCAATGATCCTTATGTGAAGATAACCTTATTGCCAGAAGTCGACAGCAAACAAAGACAGACCGATATTTGCAGGAATTCTACAGACCCAGTATTTGACGAAATATTCAAGATTCCCGTCTCTTTCGAGGAGTTGTATGAAAAGATGCTTTTACTACAGGTCTTTGATTATGATAGATACTCAAGAAATGACGTCACCGGTGAAGTGAGAGTACAGATGCGTGATATTGAAGTAACGACTGAGGTTGAGGTTTGGAGTAGCATAACCAAGACAGAACAGGTGAGCCTTGCAATTACTGCTATGATCATCAAGTGGTAACAGAGAAAGTGGATAATTGCGTATCTACGTAAGGGAGATATCACAGTTACTGTGGTAACTTTTATTATAATATAAATGTTTTCCTTAATAAAGTGTTCCGGACGACTAGTGCAGGTAGTCCTCGTGTAGGTTTACGCTAAATTCGAAACAAACCAATCCTCAATTTCGCAGAAAACGTTTGTTACACGAACAACGTTCTTAATATAATGAACTTTATTAGAAGAAGTTGGAAATATATACTTGTTTCATTTAATTAAGCAGTGAAAGACTAAAGGGAAGGCTGCTAGTTATCACCACCCACAGCCAACTCTTGGGCTACTCTTTTACCAACGAATAGTAGAAATTGAGGAATGGCGGGCACAAAGACTTATGGGCCATTGTGTCTGTCATGGGAAATGATAGTTGAGGTGGCTTCTTGTTTCTTCTCTTAACATTAAACATACCCATGTCAGCAAACAGAAGGAGCATATTGTCGCGACAACGGGACTCGAACCACAAACCCTCGGACTTACAATCAGGCACACTAACCACTAGGTCATGCGCGACCTATGAATACGTTACCCAACTTTATTTGATTCCTTGCTAAGGCCGGAACGATTTGCTTATTTGCACACTAGTTTAGCAGGTTTTCGTACTTTATATATATGTGTGTGTGTGTGTGTGTGTGTGTGTGTTCAGGTGAACAGAATGCAGGTGGTAATCAAATTAAATAATATCCTGAACGCATCATAACACTACTTACATAAATGTAAGTGCATTAAACGAAGCGCCCCCAGTAGCCTAGTGGTAAGTCTGCAGGCTTACGACACTAAAAATCGGGTGTCGATCGCTGAGGTTGGCCCAGCGCAAATAGCCCATTGTGAAGCTTTGCGCTAAACAACACAGAAATGGAATTCAAATTTCTTGCACTTCGTCACAAAACATATAAACACCCGTCATAAAATGAACAAATATTTTCTTGATCCACCCACATAAGGGCGCGTATTGGCACTGTGGTACAGCTCTGGATTTCGAAACTGGTGAGACGGGATTCGAATCCGTGTATTACCACTAAATATCCCCTGCACTTTAAAGTGTGGGTGTGTTATAAAAGGCCATCCCTTAGTGTGGATAGTGGGTGGCAGGGTGCTACTGACTGACTACTTTCTCTCTGGTCAGTAGTTCAAAATTAGGGACGGCGGCAGATAAACTTAGTGGCTTTGCCTTAGATACAAAAGTACGAATACCATCCAGAAAAATATATTAATCTTATTTTCAACATATCGATAAAACTCTGAATGCACAATTCCAAGCGTCCCCCGATGGAACAGCGGTAAGTTTACGGACTTACAGAGCTAAAATCCGGGGTTCGATTCCCCGCGATGAACATAGCAGATAACCCAGAGTGGCTTTGCTCTAAAAACAAACAAACACTATTCCATGTATATGATATGCATTATATGTCAAAGACAAAAAAAAGTATTTAAATATATGTTCATAACGATTCTGTATTTGGATGGATGGACAGTTTTAACTAAGCGAGAGTTAATTAAGTAACGATCACATATTTTCGTTAAAATTTACTTGTATATTTTGCATGAGATTTAACAATTAACAGTGGCACAGCGGTATGTCTGTGGACTTACAACGCTAGAAACCAGTTTTCGATACCCTATTGTAGCCTATTGTGTAGTTTTATGCTTAAACTACAAACAAACAATTCATTTGATTAGCACATCACATTTTCCACAGTTGTACACACAGTACAGTTCTTGATGTTAGACTGTTGGAGATAAATCACCTTAAAAAAAACTTTGGTTTTATTTTTTATTCCCTTGGCAACGCTTTGAACAAATGCTCTTTTTTAAACCAGAAAAGTTTGTTTGTTTGTTATGAATTTCGCGCAAAGCTACACGAGGGTTATCTGCGCTAGCCGTCCCTAATTTAGCAGTGTAAAACTAGAGAGAAGGCAGCTAGTCATGCTCTTTTTTAAGCCAGAAAAGTTTGTTTGTTTGTTATGAATTTCGCGCAAAGCTACACGAGGGCTATCTGCGCTAGCCGTCCCTAATTTAGCAGTGTAAGACTAGAGGGAAGGCAGATTTGACAGTAAAATTACTTTATCTTGATATGATCTAACTATTTGTTTGTTTGTTTATTTGTAATTAGGCACAAAGCTACACATAGGGCTATCTGTGCTCTGCCCACCACGAGTATCGAAACCCGGTTTCTAGCGTTGTAAGTCCTCAGATATATCGCTGTGCCACTGGGGCGCAGAGCTAACGAGATGCATACAAAAACCACATTAAAGTTTTCATTAAAGTTCCTTTATCTTAGTAAAGATCAAACAGATCATACTAAAACAGATAATTTGTTTATTTTTTTAAATCTGCACTGTCTGTCTTTAATTTTGAAGGGATAGACTAGAGAGAGGGCAACTAGTCATCACCACCCACCGCCAACTCTTGGGCTACTCTTTTACCAACGAATAGTGGGATTGACCGTCACATTATAATGCCCCCACGGCTGAAAGGGCGAGCATGTTTGGTGTGACGCACTTTGCGAGTCGAGCGCCCTAACCACCTGGCCATGCCGGGCCTCCGGAAAAGCCTAGTTTCTGGCTTAAAAAAGAGCGTTTGATCTAAGCTTCGCCAAGGAAATAAAAACTAATTTGTTTATTTTATCACATTTGCATGTTTTTGTTTCTCAATTCAATCTACTTTTCTGATTCAATACTTTGATGTAATTTTTATCATGTGTTCTTTAAGTAGCATCGTACAAATGATTATCATGTTCAAATTTTCAAACCATGTTTCTTCGTTGAAAATTAACTTTTTTAAGTTTATACAATTTGTATATACTATTTCTTATAACTTCATTCTGTATTGTTTGTTGTCTCGCAAGGTCTCGCAAGATAGGCCCGAGATTTTGCTGTCGCTCAACTACTTGCCTTCGGCTGGACGACTGACTGTCGTTGTACTAAAAGCGTCGAACTTGGTTTCGTCTGACAATAAAGGATTGCCTGGTAAGTTAAAAAAATATCAAAGTTACTTACTTATTTGTTTATTTTAGCCCAAAGGTACATTATGGGCTATCTGAGATGCGTCCACCGCGAAGATCAAATCTCGAATTATAACGTTATAAGCCCTAAACTTACCATTGAGCCAACGGAGGGGATGGGGCTAAAATCTTTTCTAAATCAAGGTAGTTTATCATATTAACAATTTAATGAAGTTAGATCAGAAAAATCCGAATCACAAGAGCTGAATCTCATATTTCTGTAAGTTACAGCATCAGTCCTGATAGACACTTGCAATACGTTTGGTTTCTAACAGATGTGCCCCCAGTAGCACAGCGGTATGTCTGCGGACTTACAACACTATAATCCTGGTTTCGATACCCGTGGTGGGCAGAGCACAGATAGCCCATTGTGTAGCTTTGTGCTTAATTACAAACAAATTAACTAACTAACAGATGTAACATCCTTACAAGCAGACTTGAGGGAACGTTTGGTTTCTAACAAGTGTAACATCCTTACAGGAAGATTCGAGGAACCATCTGACTTCTAACAGATGTAACACCCTAACAGCAAGGCTCGAGGGAACGTCTGGCTTCTAACGTGTGTAGAATCGTCCAAGGTCTTTAAGTTTCAACGTCTCTGAAACTGAGAAAAATAAAAAATTTAGAATGAAATGGTGAAAAATACTCTCAGATTACTATGTTATATAATGATAAGAAAACCCACGGTACACAACTTTGTTTCGTAAGGTACAGTTCAAGCTACAACTGAGAATTTAAAAATAGGAAGAAAAGTGATTTGCTTAGACGTCCAGATGGTAGAATAGTTTCCATTGAAACTTCAACTCCAAGTTTTGTATCAAGCTTTACTGGCCTCTTATGTAGAGACTGGCTATCTCGCAGAAGGAAGAAGAGAGTTTCTTAACTGATGTTACTAGTGGCCTTCTGGCTTTATACTGTCCTAATGATTCTCTATCTTTTATTTTTACTAGTTACAACATAAAGTACTTTGTTTTCCAACAATCTCATTCCTGTGAATGTCAATGAAGATCTTTCATGGTTACTAGTTTCACCTTACTAGTGCAGAAGAGGTCAATATTCTGCCTGTAAAATTGTATTGGATTTCATAAAGGAGCTTCTCCTACGAGTAGATCATCTTCTTCATTTATCTTTACCCTTGCAAAGCTTTGCACAAACATCAAGGTGATGTTATTACCATGACGTTGCTTTGCTTTCTGTCATCCAACTAGATACCAACCACACTGAATTGGAAGTAGTATTGATTGTTTCCAGCTCCATCCTTGTACTGTTTCCGAGAAATTTAAATGTTCCAAAAGCCTTATGCAGAATGATTTTGCTCCACGAGACGATGAATGTCCAACCAGTTCTCTCACTCAGTAGCGTTTCGATAGGAAAAGCAGCTCACCGGGGCCCAGGCTGACAAGGAACCCCCTCAAAATTGATATTTGAAATTTTGAATACTGGAAATGAGAATAAAATATTCTGAAAGAAAATAAAAGTTTAAACGAGGAAACAACAAAATATTTTGCTCCAGGGCTTTGTGAAATCTAGTTACGCAACTGCTTTCGCTATCTTTAGTGTAGGAACTATGATGACAGGTTACTGTCCACTATGGTCTTTAAACAAAATTGAAAGTCCATATTCCTTATCTGAAAGGCGTTAATACCATTCATTCAAAATGAAACACACCTGAAGAGAGATAATACTGTTATTAAAAAAAGTGAATATTCTACAAAATACAGAAAATCCCAAAAGTAACAAGGCTCTAAAACACGTATAGAAAAAAATGTATTTCTAACAACAGTCTCTATCTTAATAAACCACAAATGTAAATGAGAATGGAGTAAGTCAATTCAAAATATCGTAAATCTCAAAAATCAAAATCAAACACATTACATTCATGGTCATTAATGTCCTATTACTCCTTTTATTTTTAGGTCATCTTGTATAGTAAAACTGAAAAACCCTTAAAATTGTAGCATAGAATCGTATCGTAAGACAGCAAAAACCTATAGAACAGTGAAATAAAAAAAAACTAAAAGGTCTGGAACAGAAGCACTTGTGTAAACTTTCGCCACAAATATGTTTAGCAGAAACTGTAAAAAAACAACTTGAAAGCAGCTCTTAAAAAAAAAATTAGTTGAAAGAGCTTGCATTCGAATTGACAACTTTTCATAGCAACAAGATTTGACCTCTAATGAATTACAAGTTTTCTTTGACTTTTATGCGAGTCTCGAATATGTTAGTCAAATGAAAGAGGGGGGGGTTAAACCTGTTACTTGTGCTTGCTTGGACTTTTGTGATTTGAAACAGACTTTGTTAGTGAACTGTAACTTCAAAGTAAACTGGTGCATTACGTCGAATGCCAGCAAAAACTTTTTTTTAAATATATGTTAATTTGCTATAAAATACTTTTCGTTCCTATTTGATTTAACTTCATTTCTTCAGGTTATTGTTGTACTTTCGTTACTCTATAAAGCTAGAATCGCGAACTTGTCTTTACACTTCGCTGTGTATGTAGTTTACATGTGCCGAGTATCTGCATTTCAATTAGACAGTTCAAACAGTTGAAGTACAAACTTCAAACTGAATTGTCTATTCTGAGAAGGTATTCATCCGTTGTTGCTATGACTTCAAGCAAATAATGTTTTAAATCTGATCGCCTTACACAATGCTATGCTCTGGAGCAGTGCATTTGATAACAGTAATCAATTGTCTAGTGCCTGAAACGACATTGTTTTCTGTACTCGCTGAAAGTTATGGGGCGTTTGTTTCAGAACTTCGCACTGAGCTACACAAGGGCTGTCCGTGCATAGCCGTCCTTATTGTAGAACTAGTCAACAGCACCCACCGCCAACTCTTGAGCTACCATTGTCTTATCAAAGAACGAAATTTGACCGTCACTTTTACACAGGCACCAATGGACCCAAATTGTTTAGGGGGCATCCTGGTGGTTTAGAACTGAGCCCGAATAATATGTAACCCTATTAGTTTGTTTCAAGAAACGTTATCGGCGAAACGAAGCTTTTTGTGGTAAGTTTAGCCCCTTCGAGTTCTTGGCAGTCTCGTATATCAAAAACCATTAAGCGCGTCTGTTTTCTTATAACGATGTTTTTGTTTTTGAGTTTCGCGCAAAGCTACACGAGGGCTATCTGCGCTAGCCGTCCCTAATTTAGCATTGTAAGACTACAGGGAAGGCAGCTAGTCATCACCACCCACCGCCAACTCTTGGGCTACTCTTTTACCAACGAATAGTGGGATTGACCGTCACATTATAACACCCCCACGGCTGAAAGGGCGAGCATGTTTGGTGTGACGGGGATTCGAACCCACGACCCTCAGATTGCGAGTCGAGTGCCCTAACCACCTGGCCATGCCGGGCCTATTTTTTTTTTTTTTTCTTATAACAAAGGCACATCGAGATATCTGCTGTTTCCACCGAGGGGAACTGAACCTCTGATTCTAGTGTTGTAAATCCGAAGACTTACCGCTGCCCCACCGGAGGACTCATTGCAAACCAAAACTGACAGTAATTGCATATCATAAACAGTATCACAGCTTATGCAATAATTTTGCAAGAAATATGAATTTTATACTTATTTGGTGTGGTAGGAAGAAGCTGGGCTCTCTTGTGAATAAAATATGTTTTTCTTTATTCTGGTGTTTTGTTTGTTTGTAATTAAGCACAAAGCTACATAATGGACTATCTGTGCTCTGCCCACCACGGGTATCGAAACCCGGATTCTAGCGTTGTAAGTCCTCAGACACACCGCTGTGCCACTGGGGGGGGGGGGCTTTCTGGTGTTGATGTTAACTTATAAACTGTTATAAGTTTAATTCTATATGCAACACTAGGCTTTTATATCTTTACGAAACTGCTTAAATAACAACAAAAAATACAACAATTTTTTAGTAAAAAAAATAACGAAGGGTGATTTAACCCGCGTAAAGTGTAAATGAGCCTTCTTGACTGAAATGTTCATATTTGATGCGTTCGTTTTTATTAGTACTGTTACTGTATATTTTATTATCATTATTTTTATTTCAAGATTCTTATGTAAAGGTTGGTCTTACATGTGGATATAAAAGAATGAAAAAAAAGAAAACATCAATCAAAAAAGGATCAAGGAACCCAGTATGGAACGAAGCACTAAGTTTCGATATCTCAGAAGAAGACCTGAAACACTCTAGCCTTGTGGTTAATGTTACCAACTGTCACCATGGCAACTCCTCATATTTGGGTACGTGTATCCTTGGTGAAAGTGAGAATGGTAAAGAATCTTCTCATTGGGAAGACATGATACTTAACCCTAGAAAATCTATGGCCATGTGGCATAATCTCCACTTATGATTGTTGTTTGTTTGAGCTGGAGTTGAATGTAATTTAAGGCAGCATTTTGACGTAATTCGTCTCTTTCTTTCTTTTTGTAAAAAAACGTAAATTTGTTGTCATTATCAACATTAATTAATGTCTGGTGCAAAACGATGCAATGGCTTTTCTGTCTGTACTTCTGTTAAAGGAGAATATCTTGTAAATTTGAACCAGAACTGCTATATCGCCTTTAGTTTACAATATGCCGAAAGTACATTGAAAAATTAAACTATTCTATTAATATCAGTGTCAATATTTCCTCAGGCTATATATAGCCTTAGCTGTATTGTGGTTCATTATTCGGCCTGTAAGTTTTAGGAGATTTTTTTCTTCTTTTTACTGTATATAAATCTATATACTCTTTCAAGATGGCATTAGCAGAGAGTCTCTGGCTGTTTGGCCCCAAAACGACGCTAATAGCGTAAGGCCGATCTCTATGGAAAAATGAGCCAGAAATCAGGAGAATAAGTGTTTAGTGTCCGCAAATACTATCTCTATGAGGAGTAAAAGCATCTAAACAAGAGAACAGTATATTTCTTATTATGTTTTGTCTTTAAATCTTCTGCTCACATTAATACAATAAGAGTATCTTGCATTGTAAACAGTATGTCAAGACACTGATGGACAATCAGTTGAATATAGTAACTATATGCTTATACATCGATACACACACACACACACACAAAGAAGATAATTTGGCTGAAGTTCTTTATCTGGTTAAAGATTGAATAAGTTTATGCTAAGAAAACAGTTTGGATGAGGAATTTGATCTGAAGTTGTTTATCTGATAAGATCTAACTAGATGCATACAAAAACCACAGGGAGGTTTGGCACTAAAGTTACTTTATCTTGATAAGATCTAACTAGATGCATACAAAAACCACAGGGTAGGTTTGGCACTAAAGTTTACTTTATCTTAGTAAGATACTAACTAGATGACATAACAAAAAACCTAACTTAAGG